TGGATGACTAATTGATTTCTGACTTGTGAGATACTTATATCCAAGGGTGCCCTTTGGATTTTGGGATAAATCAGAATACCTGGTTGTAAATTGGTTAGGGAGCATATCACTAATGACTCTTTTAGCTCTAGAATGTTGTTGAGAAGGTAATAATGTCCCAGCTTTTTGGTAGTTCAGGAGGAGTTTAATTCAGAGATGTCTTTTGTTATTGTGCAGTGAGTTCTGTTACAGTGGCAAGGGATCAATTGTTTTGAGTTGGTATAATGAGATAGTGAAGGCACCTAACTGGATTTGTATGGATAGCATTTTTCCTGACTCTTATAAAGTTTAAATTGTTGTTTGATAGGTATGCCCAGAACATCAGTCTAGGGTGTGGTTTGGATAAGGTGTCTCCAATTATTGAGCTGTCACTAAGTTGAATTCTATTGAACCATGGTGGAATTCTACTATAGACTACCATTCCTCTATACGTGTGAAGCTCATCCCATGTTAGTTTAAGTGATTAATTAAAGACCAGGAGATTTTGAATGGTGCAAATTTGTGATTTAGAGATTGTCAAGGCTGCAGATTTAGGTATTTTTATAATAAGACTGATGGAGTGTTCATAGTTTGTGAGGTTAAAAGGGCAAGAGTGAGAACATATATTAATGTTGTATCTCTTAGCAATCAATGCAGCTAAGACTATCCATGAGTCCTCAAAGTATTGTGGGTTGCATATTGGACAGCACCAAATTGCGTATGCAAATTGGATGGAATAAATTTCCAGTTTAACAATAAGAAGTTTGACTGCTACAAGGTCTCTTCTGTCTCATAGGTTTATGATGCCCAAGCCTGCGTGAGAGTGGAGAACTTTGTTGGAGAGGATCCATTCGACTCCTAGTTTTTGCTTAATAGCTCTAGCCATTTTTGATTGGAGTTGAGAGCATTTGTTATCTCTTAAAACTGAGACTTGTGTTGCATAGCCTAGTTGTGTACGGATGATTCAATGGGATGCTTGTTTAGTGATGGTGCCATTCCATCCCTTCTGACTAGCAATTGCTTTTGTGAATTTGTCTATTTTCTCTTTGAGTTTATTTTTGGTTGCCTTTGCCGATGAGTATCTGGAGAAATAGATTCCTAGATATTTGATTGCTTCTTTATAAGGTTTGGGGCTGATGAGCTCCCCTTCAACCATTAAGATTTGATTTGCATGCCAACTCCTGGTCTTGATGTCATTGATTAGATCGGTTTTCTTCTCGTTGCACTTAATTGAGTTTAGTTTAAGAAAGGAGCAGAATGTGTTTGTCATTTTTTGAAGAGTGTGGATACGTTGACTTATGAGGGTCACATCATTCATGTATGCAAGTATTGCTGAAGAGAGGTCAGAACTGCTTGAGATTCTAGTGACTATTGAGTCATAGAAGATTGTCCATAGAAGGGGGGCTAGGATCTCTTCCTGGTCAATGCCATTACTGATTTTTAAAGGGTTTGTCAGATAATAGTATGTGATGATTTTGAGCTCTCTTTCCATTAGGAGATTCAGGATGAGCTGTGAGATCTTGGTAGGTATTTTGACTCTGTTGAGGGCATGTGAAAGCTATCAAGATTGACTGAATTGAATGCCTTTGAGATGTCAAAGGAGGCGATCCAAAGCTCTTGGTTGAGGTTTTTGGCTTGCTCGGCTTTTGAGAGTGTGATTGTAATTGGCTCCATTGTACTTTGGTTCTTGAGTCTAGCGAAGTTGCAACTGGAGAGGATATTATGTTTGAGTAAGGGTTGAGTGAGTCTTCTGTTTATAATTTTTATGAAGATTTTCCTACTTGATTCTATGAAGGAGATTGGATGGGTATCAGCTAGTTCATGTGATCATACTATTTTTTTGGGAAGCAGGACTACTGCTAACTGTTTCCAGTGATATGGTGGTCGCGATGTTTTGAGGACTTTGTTAAATAGTTCAACTATCAACTTAAGGGCTTTTTCCCTCAGGTTTTTCCATACTTCATATGGGATTAGAGAGAGGCCTGGTGCCTTGTTTTTTGGAAGATCACTAAGAGTATCCTTCACTTCTTCTGGGGTTATAATACTAAGTGTGTCTGAATAGATTATATTATTTATGCTTGGGATGGGGTTGTAGTATTCTGCCCACTTCTCCTTTATTTCAAAGGGTTTTTGTATTAAGATGCTTCTGAAATGGTCAGAGATGATTTCACTTAATGCATTTGGATCATTGCACAGTTGATCTCCTTTGGATAGTATTGACAGATCCAGAGATGGTTTGAGATCTCCTAGCTTTTTTGAGAGATGTCTTTGGTTTCTCCCAGAATCTGTAGTAGTTTTTTTCTATGCTGGTTCAGATTTCATTCATTACTATCTATTTAGCTCTGAACATTTTTTCTTTGAGGAGAACTCTTTGAGCTTTTCTCAGAGTCTTCATCATCAGAGGGTTGTTAGAATGTTTTCGTTATAGCTTCATCGGCCAAGAGATGTAACTTTGATTGGCTCTGATTGTGTTTGAGATTATTGATTGATTTTTTGATTGACTTTATTGCATTTGTGTATCTAACAAGAGCTTTATTTGAGCGGATGGAATTTTGTTACCTATGTTTTGGGATATTGGATTCCATAGTTTGCTTTATAATTAGATTGAGGGCTTACCAGGAGATTTTATCTATTGTGGCGAGGGCAAGTTCTATGTCTTCCTGCATCGATTGAACTTGTTCTTTTGTTGCCTAATGGAACTGAAAGGTACTGGTTGAGAAGAAGATTTTGTCAGGTTTGTACTCAAACAAATCAAGGACTATAGTGATTTGTTTGTGGTCTGTGGGTATGGCAGTTTGATTGAAGACTTTATAGTTAATTATCTTACTTGCCAAGTCATTGGTTATCCAGATCTAATCAATTCTTGAGACACTTATGGATGTGATGTATGTATATTCTGACTCTTTCTTGGTTGCTCTTGCAATATCAATGAACTTATATAGATGCCTATAGACTTGTCTCTTGAAAGCCGGAGAGAGTGCATTGATAAAGAGAGCTGAGTTGGGAAAGGAGTTGAAGTCTCCTGCTATTATAATGTGCTTATCTGTATGTTGCCTAGTAAAATCTCTGATTGTTGTGACTGCTTTTTTTCTCACAGTTGGTTCATGTGGTAGGTAACAGAAAATTATTATGATGTTGACTTTGGGCTTGAATTTGAGGCGAGCTGTATACCAGAATTCGTTGAGGGCAAATATATTATAAATATGATTCGAAATTGGTTTGGAGAAAATGATGCTGGCACTGTTGCTTGCTGAGGGAGCTGGTTGACTAGAAATAATAGTTTTGTCTTTAATTTTTTTAGGCAGTGGGTTACAGGTTGTGTTCTTGATTTTTGAGCAGCATAAGATTGCTCTCTTATTGTTTATGTTTTCTATGAGGGCATGGAGCTTTCCCTTTTCATTAAGTCCTTGAACATTTAAAGTTGAGATGGTTATTAAATTTTCAATTTTTGATTTTGATTGCTTTTGATTAAGCAGAGGTTATGGTTGAGAAGGGGTTGTATTGGAGTGGGGGGTGAGTGTGTCGGGTTAAAGGAATGACTGGAATCTGCTTGTGTTCTCATTAAAAGAGACAGGATAAGAGAGTCAGATCCGGGTCCGGTGACTCAGTTTCGGTGATGAAAGTCATTAAAGTTTGTCAAAGAAGAAGTGGACTCAGAGGAGCTGAATTGCAGTATTAATATATTGATCTTCTATTAAAGGAAGGGTAATGTCTATTTTTTGTTGTCTGAGGTATTTGTTTGTTTCTTATAGGGAGGGCAGTTCTGGAAGTATCGGAAGAATCTATTCTCGTGGAATCTGGTTTTGGTATGTCTGTTTAATTTTTTTTATTGTTGTTGAGAAGTCTGGTGACTTTCTGTAGAGTTGTTCTTTGTTGATATTGAGGTGTGTCTCTATCTCCTCAAACTCTTTGAGCATTAGAAGGCGCTTGTCTTGAACTAGACCTTCTTTGATCCACTGTGGTCCTAACGGAAGCTTAAATTTGAATTTTTTGGAGAAACTGGTAATGAATTCTTCTACATCATCTTGGTAAGTGATTGGTAGATCCAATTCATTATTTTCACTGAACCATTGGGCTGGAGACAAGGGGTGCTTGACTCTGATGTAGTCGAGTGGGAGGCGTATCACTGCATAGTTGTGCTGTCTGAGGATTTGATTACTTTTTTCATCACTTTAGGTTCATTGTCAACTGAAAAATAGAGTCGCAGATCATGAGGCAACTCTTCGTATGAGGCTGGAAGTGTCTGTTTGGGAGGGGCAGTTGGAAATAGCTTTTTGGAAGCTTTTCGGATATAATAGATATCTCTGAGTTAGTTTGTAAGCTGCTTGAGATTTCTGAGGTCACTTCTTTTGATAAGGGGGAAGAGCTTTTTGAGCTCTCCTTTGAGTATCGAGGGGTCTTATGGAAGATTTGATCTTTGGACAAAAAAGGTTGCAGAAGGAGATCAAAGTTGTAAAATGCTCTGAGGCTCCTAGCAACTTCAGTGATATGACTGGGTGATGCTAATGGTATTGCCCTTGGTAATTTAATTTTAATTGAGCTAGGAATTTCTTCTGGTGATTAAGAAAAGTTGGGTAAGTTTTTCTTTATCTGCTCCTCGCATTGAGTGTAGATTTCTTGATAGTCTATTTTGTCCAGAATAGGATTGATAAAGAAGTTAAAGAGGTATTCCAGCATCTGCGCTATTTGCCAGAATTTCATTGTTTTGGTGTCTGTGGATCTAATATAGGTGACTACGAGAGCTTTGTTAATAATAATTTTGATATTTCTCTTAGTAGCTTGATTGATGTATCCGATGTTATTGTTTTTCATATAATTTTCATAAAACTTCTTCTCTATGTTTTCATACTCTCTCTGGTGTTGGCCCTTGATGATTTCCTTCCTGGTGAAGATTCTGAAGAAATCTCAGTTCCTATGTAGGATTTTAGTGAAAATGGATTTAGTGTTAGGTTTTAGGCCTGGGTTACTTTCTTCTCTTAATTTCAGGAACCAGTCGACAATGGCTCTGGGGTACGCTCGCAATTATCGATATCTCTGTATAGTTCAATTAGTTTTGCTTGTTCGGCTTCTGGATTAATATCTCTAATATCATTGTTTATAGTCAAGGGGAATGAAGGTCTAGTTTCGGCTTCTTTAATTGCTTCGTCTACCCATGAGGATATCACCTGAAATTGAGATGAATCTGATTGAAGTGGTGTAAGTTTGTTATCCACTTCTGTATTTGAACTGTTTGTGTCTGTAAATGACAATGTGACTGCTTTACTTGTGGGTAATTGGGATGTGAGGCATGTGCTATCAGAACTAGCATGGTATTTGAATGGACTGGTGCGATCTACTTCATGTGTTACATTTAGTGCATAAGGGTTGATATAACCTGCGACATGTGTTGTAGTCATTACTTGAGAACTGGGATGATCTTTGTTGCACTCAGGGGACTCTACATGCATGGTTTTAGGGGAACAATCAATCTGTATTTCATTGTCACTACTCATTTCCTCATTTGAGGCAGGAGTATTTGAAGGGGTCTAGGGGATTCAGATTTTTGGATTTCGAAAGTTTGGAAGGATTCTTTGGCAATAATTACAACTCCGCTCCATGGAAGGTATAGATCATAGTTCAAGACATTCTTTATCACCTCTTTGATGGCACGCTCTCTGTCATTTGTGTCCAGTTTAAAATCTATTTGTGTTTATTAAATTTGTTTAGTGTCTCCAAGGACTTGAGATCTAAAAGTGAGGCAGTTGTTTTGAGTTGAGATTTGAGGAGCTGTTTTGTGACTTCAAACTTTACTTGGATGACTTCGATGGACTCTTCTGTTGATTTGATATGCTTTATTGTGGTAGGAATAAGCCAAGAGCTAGGGTGGTTGTTAAGAGATAGGACATAAATTTCTTTTGCTGGTTTGGTAATATAGATTTGTGACATTTTATCATTTTTGTAAATGATGGAGACTTTGAGGTTCCTTTTGTTATTGATCAAGACTATGTCTAACAAGATATGTTATGCATTAATGTTGGAAGGCTTTGAAGGGGAGCTCCCCTCCCCTTTGGTTTTTCCTTTAGACAAAATTTTTGTTTTTCCTTGAACATTTTCCTAATTTGATAGTTTCGATGTGAGTGTGAGAGAGTAAAAGAATTTTTTATAAATTTTTACTATTTTTTTTAACTATTTTATTAATTTTCTTATAAAATATTAAATAATATTATAAAGTATGAAATTTAAACTTTAGAATTAAAGAAAATTTTTAAATTAAATTATAAATATAAAAAAAAATAAATTTTAAAAATTTGCAGAGATTAATTTTCATCGGAGCTATAATAATCACGTGATTTCAGTAAATCAAATTGGAATCATATCTAGGATTTCTTTTATGATAATCCTATCCAAATGTATCATTCAATATGATAAAATATAGTATTTGTCATACAATATATACATTTTCTTTTATCGAGAGTTGACTGTATTTCTCTTTCTTGCAATACTTTCTTAATTCATTTGGTAGTGAAGTACAGTCTTTTTGTTGTAGGTTGTTGTTCTATTGAATGGTCATTATTAGAATCAGCCAGTTTTGAGCTTTTATCTACTATTACATTGACATTTTTGCTCTTATCAATTCTGCAATACATTATACTTGTTCTTTATACTTGTTTCTCAGTTGGTGATTGTTTTTCTGATATTCTTTATATTTGAAGAGGGTGATTTTAATGGGAGCAATATCATGTAATTAGCCATTATTCTATTCGAGTTTATTACTTTTTTTTTCCTATATATTGCAATTTCACCATCTAATTTCATAGCTATCCACTTGATAGTTGTCTGTGACTAGATAGAAAAACTGGAGTATTGTTATAGAAGTTGTTGTTGGTGTTGCTGATAGGAGAGCTTGCTATATTTGTATATGAGTTCTGGCTTGAGCCTAGGCATATAATTTGTTATAGGTTTAAAACTATCCAGGAGTTCTTTTCTGTTTGTCTTTTCTTGTTCTAAGTTATTACCATGTAAAGAGTCTTGATAAATTATCATTTATGAGCTGTTTCTTGAATAGAATTCATCTTTTTTTCAGAACTTGTCTGTTTGATTATATTATTTGCCTGATATAATATCTTTTATAGTTGTTTTATCCCCTGATATATAAAGATGAATTCCTAAAGGAAGAGGCAAAAACAAAAGTCAAATGTTTCTTATTATGAAACATTAAAATTTTTAAATTATTAACTATAAAAAAACTATCCACAATTGTTTTTCTTTATTCAAATCATTAATTTATAGTATTTCCTGACTTTTGTTCCTATTAAAGTGAAGAGCTATGAATTTTGTTCTTCAAAAAAAAATATAAGTGATCTATGAAATTTTATATGCTAAATATTTTAGGGACCCATTATTAATAATTTATTATCTCAAATATGATGCACTATACCTTAAGCATGTTGAAAATATTATTTGTGAGATTCTATCATTTTTTTATTCAAAAGAGATATTTGTTTTCTAAGATTGATATATTTGGCCAATACTGATTCTGAAGTATTGCGATCTAATTTATACTACTTTACTACTAGTGTTGAATCCATTTATTCTTTTTTTCCAGTTGTTCACATATAGTATAACCTATCTATCTTATATGTTAAAGAGTCTATATTGAAAGTCTATATAAACTATAATATTGGAAGCTATTATAGGCAGGTTGATTTTGTGTTCTAAAGTTTTACTATTTTGCTATTGAGTTAGTTGCATTTTTATTTAGATAGAGCCATATTATTGAATAGATACTTGACTACTAAGTATAAGATGTAATTTATTATGCATGATATTTATTTATCTATGATTTTTTTCATTTAATAAGATTGGTTGTGTTATTAATTTTTTCTCAAATAAGTTGAATTGTTTTTGATGTTGTTTTTTTGATTTTTTAAGATTCAGACTCTCAGGATGTGAACTATATTATTTTTTTCCAAGAGTGTGACCTTGGTTTCTATTAAAGTGACTTCTTATACATAATTGTTTTTTTTTTTGTATTGATACAAATAATGATGATTTGTCTCTATTGACTTGTATGTCATTAATGTTAAGGAATTCAGATGCTATATTAAGAATACTTTGCATATTGTATCTGTTTGAAAAATACCAAGTAATATTATCCATATATGATATTGCTATAACTATTTGTGTCCTAGTATATTGAGGTGTCTTAATGTTGTTATCTATTGCAAGATTATTACAACATAACACCTTTAGTTCATATTCTATCTTTTTGTTCTCTATTTCCTGTATTAGGGAGTTATAGAATATTCTCAATAACAGTAAGAATATTTTGTCTTCTTGATCAATTCTATTCTAAACTTTATATTCTTTTGTGTATTTGTATGCTATAATGACTTTATTGTATTTATCTATTAAGATGTTATCTTAGATATTTTTAATTTTCCTTAGAAGTTTAATATGCTTCAGTATCAATATCAGCATGTCTTTGTTTATCAAGTTATATACTTTGCTTATATCTTGACTAAAGATCCATATCTCTTTATCAAGTTCTCTGGCTTCTTCCAAGAAATTGTTCATTATGTATATTGGTTGTTGTGTACTACTAACTGGGAGTTCCACCCAGTTTCTTTTCAATATTATATAGTATTGATTCAGTATTACTGCTATTCTATTGTTAAGTATAGATATAAAAACTTTTATTGTTATTTCTAGGAAAGTAATTGATTATGTGATATTAATATCTTCCATCCAGTCTTTGGGCTTAGGAATTGAATATATTTCTTCTTGTTTCTATTCCTTTAAAACTTTTCCTATTTCTATAATCTGGTTATAAATTGTTTCTAAGTGTTGAAGACCCATAGGATCTAGGTTTCTCAATAAGAAATATAGGATTTTTGTAGATCCCAGTATACTATATTTGTTTTTGGCCTGAATTGCTTCTCTGATTTCTTGAATATCAATCTTAGCTGTATATTAGTCATACTATTCTTGATTGATATGTTCAATTGATACATATCTGTTATTTCAGTTCAGATAGTTTTACAGATTTAAAGTCTTTCAATATTGTATCTATCTGTTGAAATGATTATTGACTTTGTCTTAATTTTATTTGAGTTTATAATGATTATGGTTTCATTTATTGTGATATGTTCTGTTAATCTATAGTATCTATTGTCATGGACTAATCTGGCAAGTCCGTCACTAATCCATAGTGCCTTGCATAATCCAGTCAACTTACAAATATTTACAAATGGCACAAAAAAAGAATACCTCCTATAAAGAACACTTATAAAAGGCTGATGTGTGATGATTGACTTGGCTGAAGGTAAGTGTTTCTTTATTGCATTCTGTTTCTTTAATATATCATTAACTCGTATCTCTATTCTCAATAAGGGTTGTTTTCTTAACAGATTCAGTTCTATCTTCTTGATATACATTGGTAAGCTATTTATACTTTTCTAACTAACAATGGGCTATCTATTTTATAATCTGCTATACTAACTCTAAACTTTGCTAAACTTTTTATACTTTGTCAGATACATATGGTTCCCTTATCAGTACTCAAGCCTTATCTATAGTTTTTTACCTTGTGACACTCAATTTTTCATACCAGACTTTCAGGTTTTTAGATTCTAGACTGTTACATGTAAATAATGTCACTCACATAACCCATGACACTATCTTCCTATGTGGTTTATCTAATATACTATCTATTATTCTCTTTGATTGTTATCGTAGAAGTTTGAGCACTTTTTGATTTCTCATTAATTATTTGGTTTTCTTCCTTCTGATTATTTGTTGAGCTATTCTGTTTTCTATCGTCCAGAGCTTCTGTAGTTTCTTCAGCCACTGGTACTATTGTATACTACTATTGGAGTTATTGTGTTGATTGGCCAGTGGGCAATCAATTCTTTTTCTATTTTTGTTAATAGTTCCTATTATTTCTACCAACTTTTTTTTTTGTTTCAATATTTGATATATTATTATTTAGATATTTTTTATATATTTTGTAGGTTTTCCTTATTAGGAGAGAGAGTCTCATTTTATATCAGTATCTAGAAACATGGATTGTCATGATGTTCCCACTCTTTCTTCTTTTTTTAAGTATTTTTTATTGGCTTTTAACAATGTAGTTTTGAATTGATTTCAAAACTCTTTCAAAAATAATAAAGTTGTGTGGCCTTTTCCTCTACAACCTTCTTAAAGTTATTTCATTATTTGTTAGATAAATTTGTATAGTCAATTTGCTTTATGTTATTATTTTTCCTATTTGTAATTTTGTTTTAGTATTTGTGTAGTATGCTTGTTGTGATTGTAACTATTTTGTAATCTGTAGCTATAGTATGATTAGTGATATATATAATATGTCTAAAATATATTGAACTAATGGTTTGACCCATGGATCTATAGCACAGTG